TGCTTGGGAGAGGTTTCCTGTATTCTTCCAGGGATCACTGCTTCCGTGGCACGGTCAAAACTCAGAGCCACCCAAGCTGTGCCGAGAAGAGCAGCTCCTTAACTGCCCGTCTGAGATTGCTCGTGGGCCCCCACCGCCCGAGCGGGACATGGCTACAGCTTTGCTGGTGTCTGGTGTCCAACACTCTGCTCGCTTACACCGACTCTTTACGCCCTCGTCTTGTCTTTCAGAGTCCCCCATCCCCACGCCCCCTGCTTCTGGCCCTCAGGGTGACAGAGTTGCTGGGGGCTTGGCTCCACACACTGCCCACTGGCTCCTTGCTGGTCCCTGAGACAGAGTGGAGGGTCAGGTCAGCTTCCCGAATGAGGACCATCGCTCATGAATCATCCTGGCCGGGCATTGGGAGTGGCCAGCCCCCACCCCTGAGATCCCTGATCCCAGCCATCAGCCTCATGTGCCACGGCCTCTTCTCCCCAACCCTGGACTCACAGTCCCCGGGCCTCTCAGCACCTCACGCTGTCCTCCAGGGACAGGGTCTAAGGATCACCTGAGCAGAAGGCCTGGTCCGAGCTCATGCCTCTTTCAGCGGCTGCTGGGGGACGTGGGTGCCGTGGCCACCGCGAGTTCCTCCCTAGCTGACCCTGGAGAGTGCACCACCAACCTGGGCTGGTCCCCAGTACTCACACGTTTCCACCGTGCTCCCGTCAAGATTACCCCCTAAGGGGGGAGAGCAAGGACACGTGGGTCTGCCCTCTTCACGTCGCCCCTAGCCCTTCTCCCTTCCACACCCAGTCGTGAGTGAGAGGAAACGTGCCTTCCCTGTCCTGTCTCCTTGCACCAGACCCGCCTCATCCTGCGAGGTCACTAAGCCTCTCTTGAGGACAGCGGGCATCTCCCCTCCACTCTGGGCTCTGGATGTTGGCACCCCAGGGCAGGCTGGAAGTCGGCGGGCAGAGCACAGTGCTGTGGGTTTCTGATGCCAGGGTCACCCCTCTGCTGAGTTTCTCCTCCATCTGTCCCTGATTTCACCGCCGCCCCCTCTCTCCTCATTCCTATCCCTTCAGCCTTTGCTCTGTATCTGGGGCAGCAAACTTGCTCCAGAATCAGCTGTTCTCAAGCATTTTAGCCTCAGAGTCCCTTTACATTCTTAAATTATTGAGAACCCCAAAGAGCTTATGTTCATATGGATTATGTATGTCAATATTGACCCTATTGGAAATTAAAACCAGGCATTTTAAAAAATATTCATTCATTCATTCATTGAAAAATAACAACAGTAAACCCCTTACATGTTAACATAAATGACATTTTTATGAAACGTAACTTTTCCTGAAACAGATGAGAAGACCGGCATGTTCTGTATTTTTGGAAATCCCTTCCACATCTGGTGTAATAGGAGATGGTTGAATTCTCATTTTGGCTTTTGTTCTGAATGTATTGTAATATGTTGTTTTGGCTGAAGAATTTGAAGAAAATCTAGCCTCGTACTGATACGCAGTTCGAAAAATGGGGCATGTTTCAGTAGTCTTCCCAGATGATTTTTTTAAAAGATTTTATTTATTTGACAGAGTGAGTGAGAGAGCACAAGCAGAGGGGGACAGTAGAGGGAGAGGGAGAAACAGACTCCCCGCCGAGCAGGGAGCCCAATGTGGGGCTCGATCCCAGAACCCCGGGACCATGACCCGAGCCGAAAGCAGACGCTCAACCATCTGAGCCACCCAGGCGCCCTCTTCCCAGATGATTGTGGACGTTGTGCTTTGATACTACATGGGAACCCAGCAACGGGTGATTTCTTCAAGGTAGTTGCATGGTGGGATCTGAACGCATATCAGTGAACTAAAATCCATCGATCTGTCCTGCACTCAAACTGCATCTCGTATCCATGTGAGGTTTTGTCACACCATATACAGTTTCTAAATGGTGACACATTTCATTATATACCAAAAAAATCACATCGATGGCCGTCACCACTGATCTCACCAGCAACATTTAAGTGATGGACGCTGTCGAGCTCACGGTGGCAGACATAAATTCCCCAAGATTCTTCTCTGTGCTCGAAAGCTTGAGTTTTGTCATGGGCCACAAATATCGTCACTTGTTTTCCTCAAGGTGACGGGCTCACAGTGTTCATTTCTAAGAGAATATCTGGCAAATGCCCAAGTCAGAATAGTTTATTTTCTAGTTGTGCTTTTAAGTAAAAATGATGCTTCGTGAAAAAAAGAAATTCTAGTTCATGTTGGAACTCCAGCAACTGGCTGCTTCCTTACATTGAGACCTCGGTGGTGCTTCAGGACGTAGCAGAAATGCTTTCAGGGCGTGCTTCTCGTTTCTTCACATGGGACGTTAAAAAGACATGGGCTCAAGGGTCAAGGTTAGTAAGATGAGTAACTTACTGTAGCATCAAGGACATGCCTTGAATCAGGACACACTTCAGCAAAGACATGCTCTTTGCCTTTGTGACAAACACCGCAAGGACTGCTGGTCCAGTTTGTACCTCTGCCTTGACCCACGCCAAGGTCCTAGCTGTTTGGCCGCCATTGCTTCACCATGGGTGCAGGAGAAATAACATCTCAGATGAGAGAGAGAACATCTCAGCATTGTTACTAAAATAGTTTGACCTTGTGGCGCCTCTTAAAGGGTCTTGAGAACCTCCAGAGGTCCCTGGACCACACCTTGAGAACCACAGTTCTAAATCGTGGGATGTGATATGTAATATGTACGGTAGTAAGTCCGGCCCATTGTCAGTTTCCATCCCTTCCCATCTTTGTTTGGACCATCTCTCTTCCACCTCAGTGAGCATAGCCTGTGGTCTTTCCATCTCAGCCTGGTTCCTTCTTTATGTCCTCCTCTCTTCATCCCAGTTAGTGCACCAAGCACGCTTGTTTCAAGTCTTCTTCTGGTTCTGACAGTCGATCACATTCAGGGTGTCTTTTCTTCCTGGGGCTGACTTAAACTGATAGCTACATGTTGGGCCTTTGTCTGCCGATGCAGCCATCGTGGAGTGACATCTGGTCGACCCAGTGTTTGCCACAGGCAGGGTGTGTGGATTGCTCTGGCCCCCATCACCTCCTCCCCACGCGGCTCCAGGTGGTGTGATTGCCCCTGAAATATGTCAGTGTCCAGCCACCACCCACGCGGCTCTTACCTCAGAGGACTTCCGGCCCCAGGATTCGGTGTGTGTCCTGCAGGTCCTCATCCTTCTTCCTGCTGGGCTGGGGGTATGGTTTTGCCTGGATGCAGAATGAGGGGCACTCACTGGGAGAGAGGTGAAGGGGTGGCCTCTAGATTTTCTGGCTGATGCAGATACCGTCTGAGGGGAAATGGAGGAGGTTAGGCCCTCCGCACCTGGCTCCACGCGCCTATGCTCCCGGGCTCGGGGCAAGGATGTCAGTGCAGCTTTATCCGTGGATGACAGCTCCCCACCCCCCCGGATTGCTGCCAACACAAGGCCGTGTTTTCTTGATTGTCAAAGCTGAGACGAGAGTTTCGTTTGTGGGCCCGTGTTCCAGAGTGTTTGAGCAACGAGTGGGGAGCGGGGAATCAGTGAAGTGCAGTCAACACCACTTAAAACCAGGAGTAGTGTCCCAGAGCTTTCTAGAGGCCCTGCCTTGTCTCCCGCCTCCACCGCGCTCTGGGGTGTCCCCTTCAGAAACCACAGGCACCGAGTTCCCACAGGACGGTGGCACCCAGGGTCGGTCTGATTCTTGTCACTAAGAATGGAGTTAAGTGGATCTCATCGAAAACCAAAAATACTGCATTTTGCAGACGTTCTCTAAAATCCAGAACAGATGGAATGTGTCCATGATGTAGAGGGGACATTTCCCAGTCGGTTCAATTTGGCGAGCCCACCAGGAAGGTCTGGGGGGACCGTGGTTTTCCCGGGACATCCTAGTGCTGGATGTTTCCTGCGATGGACACCCTCCAAACCAGACCACTGCAGCCTTGGTCTGTGGGAACAAACCTGGAGGGGGGGGCAGCTCAGCCTGCTCCCCTGCTGGAAGGGACCCAAAACTGTTTGCGAGGAGATGCCTCCCGTCTTTGTCCCCAGGACACCTGTGGCCTCCTGGGGAGAGTGCAGTGACCTGTCACTTTCTCTGTAGGGTGCCAGCCCAACCCCCACTTCCCTAGTGTCGTCCTCTGCACAGAGCCCTTAGCTCAGGCCAGCGTGCAGAGCAGGGCCCTATAGAGAGGAGCACAGCCTTGCCCTTGTAATGAGCTTTAGCTCTGCCTTCTCTGTGGCTTCTGTGGCAGCTCTGACCAGCCTGTGAACCACCTGGAATTTTCTCTCTTCTTTAACCTCCTCTTAAACAATTAGAGTGGGCAACAGATTGGGGTTGGAAATAACCATGTGGCCTGACCAGGTGCACCCCCAGGACCCTACCTGGCCCTGGCCCTGCTGGGCTCCCCAGAGCCACCGACCTCACCCCCTCCAAGGAAGGTGACTGCAAGCCCACCCTCATCCAGTGAAACGGAGTGCTGGAACACAGTCTCTGAGCTCTGGGCTGTGCATCAGAAAAGCTCCGGGCTCTGTCTCAAAGCTAGAGTTCAGGACCTCTGTCCCTCCTCTCTCCATTATGAGTTAGGTGGTGTGGGCAAGCAGCGACAACAGTCCCAGCCTGTGATTCTGAGACTTGATGGGTCATGGCCCTTTGGCACTGGATGAAAGTCACGGGCATGCAGCCTGGAAAAATGTACGATTGTAAAGAGTCACGGAAATGTTTAAATGTGACTTCATTTCTATAAAAATAAGGTGTTTCCATTCCAGCCTACCCAAACTGCACGTTTGACCCCCAACTTGTGGGCTTCCCACTTGGGAGAGAGTGAGAGCTTGGAGCTGGCTCTGCAGATGGTGAGGGCTGCCTAGGGGTGCCTTGACCCGTTTTCTGTATATAAAAAAGTTCCTGTGTGTGTGTGTGTGCATGTGTGTGCAAACATTTAAAACCTGTTGCAAAAATAAGGCAGGCATCTCATAGATTCCTTGTTTCTGATATTTTCCTAAGGGGGTTGAAGGGCCGGATTAAGAAGGAGAGTTCCCAGAGGGAGCTGCTTGCGGACACGGCGCACCTGAATGAGACCCACTGTGCCCGCTGCCTGCAGCCCTACCGGCTCCTCGGGACCCCCAAAAGGCAATGCCTGGACTGCCGCCTCTTCACCTGCCAAGACTGCAGCCACGCCCACCCGGAGGAGCAGGGCTGGCTCTGCGACCCCTGCCACCTGGCCAGGTGAGCCACGGCCTGGCGTCCGAGGGACCCTGTGGGTGCTAGGGCCCGCTGTGTCCCCCCGGTGGGGCTGGCTGAAGAGGGGTGGGCACGGACAGGTGCCGCCTGGCACAGCATGGCGGGCCTGAGCTTGCTGTCTCTGCAGGGTTGTGAAGATCAGCTCCCTGGAATGGTACCACCAGCACCTGAGAGCCCGCTTCAAGCGCTTCGGGAGCGCCAAAGTGATCCGCTCCCTGTGCGGACGGCTGCAGGGGGGAGGTGAGGAGCGCACCTCTCCCCGGGATCGCTTTTGTTCCCACGCCTGTTTTTGGGTTTCAGGACCAAGCAGATCCTTTGGAATGGGTGTGTGCCCCTGTCGGTCCCTTTCGAGTGTTTTGTACAAGGTTGACTGCTCTCTGTGTGGTGCGAATTTCTGCACACCGCTCCCCGGCCTGGCCCCTGGGAAGTCCTGCATGCTGTTGACAGCCCCACTATTTGAAATCCTATTTTTCAAGGCTTCCTAGCAGGTTGAGAACTCATAGCTAAGGTCTCAAACTCAGTGGCTAGTCGAATAACCAGGCGCTGGTTAATACAACATGTTCTCCAGGCCCTTCCTCCCTGGGCGTCTGATGTGGGGCCTAGATTTTCTCTTTTCAACAAACATTCCCTGTGCGTCTGATGGGCCGAGGGGTCTTCCTGCAGCTGGAGGAGCTTGGTCTGGCCCCATCCCAGGGCTCAAGGGTGAGAACCACAGGGAGCAGGGCAGAGAGCCACACTGCAAAGTGTTTAAGAATCTCGACCCCAAAGGCGGCCCTGTTCCCAGAGGCCACGTTGGAACCCCTGAGGAGCTGACCTCCCTCTGGGAGGTGCCGATTCCAGGGACCGGGTGGGCTCAGGAATCTGTGTTGTGTGAAAGGCCGTGGGGATTGTGATGCCCAGCCAGGGTCCAGAGCTGCTGGAGCCAACGCCAACCAACCAGCCCCTGCCCGTTTCAAAGTTGTCACCACCGAGGTGACAAGGTGGCGCTGTGGGGCAACAGGAACCCCGACTCCCAGCTGCTTCACCTGGGCCCCTGGGTCGCGTGTTCTGGGGTGATGGCCAGGCTGAATTCTCCCTGTGGGGTGCCTGGGAGTACAGCTCACTGACTCACAGAGGTTGCAGGGAAGGAAAGTTGCGTGTTTGTTTTCAAGTAGACAAACTGAAAAAATAGAAATGACTGAAGTCACTGTTTTGAAGCCTGGCCAGCCAGGGCCACGGGCAGACTGGTCAGCTGGGGTGAGGGGTGGGGGGTGGCCGGGGTCTTCTCCGGGTGAACCTGCAGAGCGACAGGCGTGTTTTCCCGAGGCCCCCACAGCAGGACGGGCAGATGCTGCGGGAGGCAGTTGTCCCAGGGCCGGGAAGGAAATGAGAGGGAACCCGTCCTCAAGCGCAGTCTCGGGAGGATGTCTTTCTCCCCAGTGCCTTTCCTTTGGTTCCAGGTTTGCCTGACAGAGCGCGAAGCTCGCCTGACATCCACAGTAAGTCCTTGGTGCTCGCAGGGCTTCGTGTTTCTTCCCACCTCGCTGCCAAGAGCGGCTGAGAACTCTCTCCCATGTCAGGAGCAGGGAACATCCTTTGGGCTTGCTCTCGAGAGATGCGTTAGTATCGCTCAAACTGCCGTCCCAAGTGGAGAGAGAGATGGAAGGAGTCCGTAACCAAAAGGGGCACAGAGCTCCTGTTCCTGTTCAGTCCTGGGGGAGCTCCACGCTGACAGGCCACGCGCACACATGCACACCCACACACACACACGCACACACAGGCGTGCGCCCCGGGCCTCCAGGAGCCATGCCCACATTCCCTCGGCACAGGTAGAGGTCAGCTCAGTGTCTTCTGTCTGGTGGTCTGGGGTGAATTTCCTCAAGACTCAGTGTCCAGAGAATGAAGATAATCACCCAGTCTGCCCGCTGCATGGGTCCGAGTTCGGGGGGTACAGAAGGGCTTACAGGGCATGCTCAAGCCCAGTAAATGCCCTGCTTGTTCATGCTTGAGACCTGCCCCCACCCAAAGGCACAGGGAGTGAGGGCCTGGGCGCGGGCTGGGGGGTGTGCAGGGGCAGCACGTGCGGGCCCGGCCCCACAGCCCATGCTCCCCCAGTGCAGAAGTGGCCTCGTAGCCCCAAGAGAAGGCCGATGATCCATGCTCTAAAACCCCAGAGCTCATTGCCTGGTCCCCTCTGGTGACCTAAAGGAGAACAAGGGCCAGACCAGTGGGAGAGCAGAGGGAAGAGGCTGTGATGGGGCCACCTGGGTGCTCAGGTGAGGCAGGGGGTCTGGGGGGCAAAGAAAGGAGGGGCGGGAGCCCTGGGGCTGAGGCTCACCTCCTTCCCAGCTGTGTCTGCAGCCTGCAGATAAGTACATGAAATGACTGTAGGTAAAGCAGTTTGTTTGAGAAAACATGACTTTGCCCTTGGCCTCCTTCACCACAAGGCCAGGGATACAGATTGCCCAAGAAACAGTCCATGAACAGAGGGTGAATGCCTATAGGCGTGACCCTCGACAAAATTGATGCAGAGTAATAGTTTTCTGCTGGGATTCAGACCGAGTCTAACTGATGCTTGGATAGGTCTTTGTAAAGCCAGCAGATGGATTTGCCTGGATGTGTCACAGTGGGTGGATGGATGGATATGTGCATGCAGAATGAATGAATGAGTAGATGGAAGGATGGATGGAGAATGGATGGTTGGATGGATGGAGAATGGATGAGTGAGTGGATGGATGGATAGAAGGATGGATGGATGGAAAATGGATGAATGGATGGATGGGTGGATGGAAGGAGGATGGATGGGTGGATGGATGGAGAATGAATGAATGGGTGGGTAGGTAGGTAGGTGGATGAATAGTAGATAGATAGGTGGGTGGGTGGGTAGATGGGTGAATGGACGGGTGGTAGATGGGCGGGTTGGATGGATGGATGGGTAGGTGGGTGGGTGGATGGATGGTTTGCCCCCAGTCTTCTTCACCCTGGGTTGAATCATGTGTGTGGTCCATTGCAGATGGGCCTGAGCCAAGCCCTGGTGAGGGAAGTGGAGACAGTGAGCAGACAGATGAAGATGGAGAACTGGACATAGTGGCCCAGGCCCAGCCCGTTGGCAGCAAGGTAAGTCTTCCCCAGTCACCTCTGCCCCTGCCCCTCCCCCAGCTGGAGCCTGGGGTTCTGATGTCCTAAAAATCTCAGTACTCTCCTTGACTCTACCAGTTCCCACAGCATGAGCACAAAGACCCCGCCTCCTTTGCCGTGCCCGGACAGTCTCTGAGGCACTGAGCACCAAATAGGATCATGTTTTCAGCACGTGGTGTCACCATAAGAAACCCTAAAGCAAGGTGTGGGGGAGACGGAGCCTGCAGGGAAGCTTGCTTGACCCGTCCAGTCAGGGTCCTGGGGGCAGGCTCGTGAGGTTGTGAGGGCAGGCAGGGGTCCCAGAGGGCACCCTGCTGTCCTCCAGGGTGGCCTTGGCATCTTTCAGGGAAGTGAACCCCTTTAGACTCCCCTCTATGAACATTTTACTTTTCTTCATAGCCAGCCACGAGCCTTGCTTTTATTAGTGTTTATTTCCATCTTTACTTACTTTGTAACTTATTTTTGGTGATCGACAAGCAGAGTATGCCCTGGGGTTTTGGGTGGGGGTGTGACGGAAGGAGAGCAGGTTGGTGGGGGGGGACAAGGAGTTTAGTTGGAGACACCGGGAGGAGGCCGGCGTCCGTGAGATTCGACACCGACCAGGTCTGGCCAGTCTACAGTGAGAAAATTGTATTCCTGCCACTCGGTGAGCTTAAAGAACACCAGCCAGTGTCTGGAATATTCCCTATACAATACCTTTAAAGGATCAAGGTTATCGTGAGGGAGGATTTCATCTGAACAACATGGAGCTCTCCCCCACCTCTGTGGCCTCACTGTGGGTGCCCCTCATTTGCCTGAACTCCCCACCCGACACCTCTCAAGGGTACCTGTCAGCCCTAGAGAAGACTGCCGCCCTGCCCACCCCTCACCCCAAGGCTGCAGTGCTCCGGGACCTGTGTCCTTAGCACATCCGGGCAGCCGTAGGCCTCTTGGGCTGAGCAGGTGTTTCCTTTCACTCTAAGAGATGCTGAGGATGCAGCTCTTGCAGGGGATTCGGAGGGGGAGCCCTCTGGGCCCCCTGAAGCTGCCTTCGAGCTCCTTCGGGTTTGTTTCTAGTGCAGGAAGTGGATGTGCCCCTGGAGGCACCCACCCTGCTGCCCAGGGCGGAGAGGCCCCTGGTCCTCTCTGTCAGCTGACCCCGACTCTCCTCCTCTTGCCCACATCTGCACCTGCTAAGAAAAAGCGCCTTTCTATTCACGACTTGGACTTTGAGGCAGACTCTGATGACTCTACTTGGTCTGGCAGTCACCCCCCATATTCGTCCCCAGTCCCAGCGGCCACAGACAGCCTACAGGTCAGTGGGCTCTGGTGTCTGCCCCCGTCCTTCCCGGGATAACCTGAGCGACAGGTACTCAGGCCCCAGGTGGGGGACGGCGCTCCGGGAAGGGTTCCGATGGCCATAGCAGGCATCAGGGCACGACAGGCCAGGGGAGAATTGGGCTGGGGGCACAGGATCCAGAAGCTCCACACTCCCCATTTCTGCAGAGATGGGTCTGGCAGCTTGGAGAAGGGGAGTGCGGGATGGGAACCAAGGCTGGACAAATGAGGGGCCGGGGATCCGGGCTGGCTGCTTGTCCCAGAAGTAAGGCTTCTACCCTGTGATTCAGGAGGGCAGGCCAGGGAACCGGCGTCTGCCCTGGACTCAGGGCCCGACATGTGCCTGGGCGCCCGTCTGGTGAGTCCAGGCCAGAGCGGGGGCAGGGATGCATCTGCCCAGGCTGATCCACAGACCACTTTGGGGAAAGAACAGCAGGGCAGTGGGCTGGCACTGCAGTGGTCTTTGGGCCACAAGCCTGCTCCCGCTGCAAGACTAGCTCCTGCGGCCTCCAGGGCCTGAGGACTGCCTCCTTCCTGCCCCCCTCAAGCTGGAAAGGAGCTGGGGCATGTGGCTTCCAGAAGCCCTCAGCACCTTGCTTCCTTGGGGACGAGGGCACAACAGAGAGAACCCTCTGCCGGCCCGAGGAAGGGTAGAGGAGGAGGTGCTGGGGTTGCAGCCGAGGGGCCCCCCGGGAGCCCTGCCCACACTCCCTCTTCCCTTTCTGGGAGTATTAAGGTGCATGCAGTTAGAACAATGCACCCCCCCCAAAAAAAATAACTTTCCCATCCGCCTCCTCAGGGCTTCAGTCTCTAGGTGGGTCAGAGCCCCCAAGACTGTCAGATGTGTTCCCTTGTACAATGAGTGGCTCAGGGTCTCGGGAGCCCCAGCCTTCCACGGACACATGGGACAGAGTAGGCAGTAAATGGCTTTCAGCAGGATTTCTGGAAGTAAAGGGAACTGAATCACAAGGGGCCAGAGCTGAGGGGTGTCTAGCGTTTGCTCAGTGATGTCGGGAAACCCTCCAGGCTGGGATGGAAAGACCTACATGCCAAGGAGCTGCCCCTCCTAGTAAAACCTCACGCACCTGGCAGGTCCCGTGTGCTCAGGCCTTCATGGATGAACCCCATGCAAAGGACACCTCCCCGGAGGCCACGGTCCTGGAGGAGGCCAATGTCAGCGCCTCTGGGTGCCAGCCCCGTCCAGAAGAGCAGACGGACGGCCTCTCACCTGAGGGACAGGACACCCTCACTGAGCTCTGCATCCCTGGAGAGTCGTGCATGACAGCCCCAGGGACTCCTGCCACAGCTGGTAGGTCCGTTGATGGGCTCTGCATGGGGGAAGCGGTCCATGGAAAACCCGTCCACTGCCCTGATTTGTGCAGACATCCTGGCCGGTTGATAGCAACCCCTTCCTTCCCCACACTGTCCGGCATGTGCGGTCCTGGTAGACGCCATCCACATCTGCTCCCCGCCCCCCAGGCTGGGCGCTGCTCTTGTAACACTCAGAAGTCCCAGCATTAGCACCTCAGCTGGCCACACAGCTCGCTGCCGGCCATAGGGAGGGTACTGAGCTGGCTCGGGGTAGGGACGTGCAGGTGTCCTTGAAATGATTAGGATCACTGGTCACCTGGACCAACGATCCTGATCAAAGGATAGGGCAGGTCCAAGCCTGGGGACTGACGCTGCACCTGGGGACCCATAGTACACTTCGGGATGGACAGTGCACTTAGGGACAGCGCACTTGGGGACAGGCGACGCACTTATGGACGGACAGTACACTTGGGGACAGGTGGGGCAGGTTCCGTTTGGGCACTGCTTCCCCTGGTCCACCACCAGCTCCCAGCTTTGAATCGCGAGGTCTGCAAGTGCTGAGAACCTAGACTTGCTCAGTTTAATTTTGTTGCCAGACAGTGTGCTTCGTAATGAAATCCTGAATTGCTGTCTTTTCCTGTGCCCTGTGGGTTCAGGAGTTCAGACACCCTACGGATGCAGGAGCAGATGAAACCACGGAGGCAGCCCGGCCCTCCCGCTAACGAGCCCCCACGTGGCCGCCGCGTGGGGCTAGCTGCCGGGAAAAGTGGTTAAGACACCGTCTGCCAGGAAATAGGTCCCCTTTCTGTTTTTCTTTCTCATTATATTATAGGAACCATAATCTCATGGTCCACAGGCTGATTAGGATGCTGGAGGCATTTTGGGAGGAACATGGGGCTTTAATTCCCCCTAAACAGTGAATAAATGAATCTATATTGAACAAGTCCTAGAACAGGGACGTGCACAGGATCTGTGCCCCCCCGCCCCACCGTGATCCCACACCACCCGAGGACATGGACAGGGCGGCGGGCAGGGAGGGAGAGACCGCGTTTCTGATCAGCCAGCACAGCTTTCACCTCCTCCCTTAAACTGGGAGCGTCTCACGGGGACATGTAGGAGTTTGATGGGCAGCGTTGTCTCAAGATGCGTCAGGCAACCCGCAGGTGTGCCATCTGAGGTTTGGTGGAACGTGGCATGCCACTCGATCCACCTGCTTAGCCACTGTGACTCGGTTTCTCCTCACTGTGAAGAGGGCTTCATGCCTATCGTGCGGCATGGTTGTAGACACTAAACGAGATCGTAGTATCACAAACCTCTCGGCTTAAAACAGCGCACCTCCATCCTATCTATCCTTGTGGCCGGGAGCCGGGGCGCGGCCTCACTGTGTCCTCAGCGTGCGGTCTCCCAGGCCGAAACCAGCGGGGCCTGGGGCTGGAGTCCCACTGGAGCTCGGGGCCCTCTCCCAAGCTCGCTCAGGTGCTTGGCAAGACTCACCGAGCCAGTGGGGGCTGGTGCCGTCGAGGACAGAAGGGGCTGTGCACGGTGACTCCCTGGTGCAGGAGCTCCCGTGTGGTCAGCCCCGGCCACACCTCCTTCCCACCCCCCACCTCCCAGGGTGGTGTGTGCGGCACCATCCAGGCTGCCTGGAGCCCTGGGTACCTTTGGTGAGGCCGTGGGGATAGTGAGCTTCCCCCCCCCACACCTGGAGTCCAGGATGAGCATTTCCAGGCACATTGTGGATGACCCAGATCCACATAAAGTCAGGCATGAGAAAAAGCCCATAGTGACCAATGTGGAAAGACGTCCCAACGTCCCCTCCACTCACGGACACTCCCCGGGCCCTGCATGGGCCACACTCCGGGCACATGGGTTCCGGTGGTGGAATGCGGTGCACTGTGATCCTCCCGCTGACCATGTACCTCTTTGCTCCCCTGGCCCCACCGAGAGTGCCAGGCAGGGGCCTGGTTCCTGAAGCTTCCGTGTGAGGGCTTGCCATCGCTCCATTCCGACTTTGATCTGAGGTTCTCGGCTCCCTCCCCTCTGGGGGCTGTAATCACGTCTGCGGTTTCCCTCATCTCTCGTTTTCCCTTATTGGGAAAAACGTGTCCACTGGCTTCCAGCTTTTCACTCTGCGTAACTCGATCCCACTCTCACTCCAAAGGGACGAGCGCCATCGGGAGTGAGCAGCTCCCCTCCCGGTATCTGGCCGCCGTGGACACCTCCGATGACGAGAGCACCCGGGCTCCCAGTGCGGCCTCCTGCCGTTCCAGACAGAGAGGCCACGCCCCGTCCCAGAGCCAGGTAAGGCAGCTGCGAACAGTTCCTTCTTGCTGCTGCCTTGGGTGGAGCCTTTTTACCTTCACGCCAAGTCATGTCGGAGACATCAGAGCTTCCAGTGCTTTAAAACTGCTCGTTTGCACAAGCCTACGTAGCAGATGCGCGTGCGATATCTTCAAAATAGCCACTGTTCTATCGACGTGAAATTCACAGAACGTAAAATTCAGCGTCCTGAAGTGGACATTCACTCGCACTTAGTACATTCACAGTGTCGTACTCCTGTTGGTCCCCAAACGTCATCGGCCCAAAGGGAAACTGATCCCGTGAGCAGTCGCTCCCTGTCCCCTCCCTCCGGCCGCGGGCGGCCACCAGCCTGCTTCCTGTCTCCGGGCTTCGCCTCTTCTGGGCGTTGCATCTAGACGGAAGCGTTCGCCGCGTGACTTTCGTGTCTGGCTTCCTGCACACAGCGTCACATTTTCGAGGTCCATATTGTAGCTCATATCAGTGCTTGATTCCTTTGGATGCAAATACTTTATACTGGATCAAGTGTTCTGTCATTGACAAGAGGAGGAAATACTCCTTTTATACCTTTAGCAGACGTCATGCAGGGTTTAAGAAAATTTAACTTAGAATACGTAACACCTGTTAAAGGAGTGCGCCTCCCTCACACTGCAGAGCCTGATTTATGACCTAAACCACAGGGTTCCTCTGAGTACCCCGGGTTCCCTTTACTGAGTTTAAACCATGGTCCCACTTACAGACAGATTTAGGTCTGAGCAAGTACACTTTACTGGGGGAAGACGACAGTGCTTCATACGAGGACAGCATGACCACTAGCCTGATACAGACTCACCAAAGACCCGGGTCAGGCCCAACTCCTATGGAGGAGATCATGGGATTGGGGCCGTCTGTAAGTGAGTGACTGGAAGCAGGAAACCGACAGGAGGGCCCCGCTCTGGATGGAGAATCTCGGACGTAGCTTAGCCACAGCTGGTCTCAGGCACATATTCAGGAGCCGGGACTGATGCAGGTTCTAATGCATGGCACAGAGCTCCTCCCGGGACCCTCCCCCAGGGAGGTTTGAGGGGTGGGGGATGCGCCTGGGGAGCCTCCCCTCAGGGGACCCAGGGGCTGAGCTCTGGGCTATCAGGTGGAAGGACTGACCGATGTTGAGCGTGTTCAGAAAAGGCAGGAAGCAGCTGGGATGCGTGCAACTGTGCTTGATGCAGTTCCAGAAGCAGGCGGGAGGGGCGGGGGACCGAGGGGCAGGTGAGGGGGCCAGAGCTGGGAGGGGCTGTTCTGCAGGGAGCCAGGGCCTTCCCCAGCCCCTTACCCTCTGTGCACTCAGACGACCCAGGGGGAGCGGGTCTGACACAGCCACAGCGCACACCACCAGCTAAAAGTCCTGGCTGTCACCCCACCAGCACGGCCCACAGCCATCGGTGACCAGGGGAGCTGCCCAGCAGGGCCCAGGCTTTGCTGAACTCTGTCCCCAGCAGCATACGTGCCCGCATGGGGCAGGACCTGCACAGGCAGGTGGGGTGCCGGCCGCTCCCCAGTCTCAGCTGACGTAGGAAAGGTTAGAGGTTCTTCCAACCTCCATCCTCTCGCCGAGCCCCAGGAAATGCTCTGCCGAAAACAAGCAGCGGACTTGTAGAAGGATAGAAGGAGCCCTTCCTTGCACGGCTTTTGAGGAATCGGTGTATGTTTTATGTTTTAAAATTGACTGGGCTCAACAGTGTCAGCAGAACAGAAATGTGGAGTCTCGCGCTCTCCAGAGTCAGTGCCCTCAGGCACAGCTGACTCTCTTTCCTGGAATGCCGCCCAGAAGCTTCCTACAGCCAGCAGGCTAGAAGTTCTCTGGGCCCACCCTCCGTCTCTGGAAGAAGTGCCCTCTCCCCCTGCCCTGAGCACAGCAGGGTGTGACAGGCCCTGAGAAGGTCTGCAGTGAAAGCCATCTACCATTCTGCACCCAGGGTGGCTCACACTTCTCGGGGCCTGAGCCCCCTTTTACAGAATAGTGAGGAAAACACTACGCAGGAAGGTGACCTTTGATCAGACCAGGGCTCAGTGTCCAGGAGGGCTGGGGGCCGGCGGTGGAGGGGCGCTGAGACCAGGACAGGTGAGACCAGAGCCACGGCCGGCAGAGAAGCCCCCAGTCAGAAGGCGGCAATAAAGACTAGAATTGTCTATTTTCAGCAAGTTTTTAACTTAACAACTTTAGTAACTTTCAGTAAAATACATGCCTGGACATCTAGCCCCACTGGTACCTGCCATCCTTCCTGCCTCCTTGAACGATTCCCTATTTCATGCTTAGAGCCCATCTCCGACTCCACCTCCACCAGCATCTCACCCGGCATGTGCCCCTCGCATCTTTATGTAAAGGCAAGTGGGCAGCAGGCCCGGTGCACCGGGGAAAACCCAGGACAGACTCTTACAGGGGTCCCTGCGAGGGGCCGCGGGTCCGTGCTGCCCCTCAGCTCCTGCCTCTTCTCCAACCCCAGATGAGCATTCCAGTTCCTTGTCTTGGGGTGCTTTTCTTTCTCACTCTGGGGGTGACATTTGACAGTGACCGTGTCGGGGGGTCTGCCGTGGCGGCCACGTGTCCTTTGCACACCGTGCTCTCCGGGAGACAGAAGCGGTCTGTGCACACTCCTGCAGCCCGGTATCGATGCCCGCCTCTCTGCCCAGTGCAGCCAGAGGGGGGCTCAGTTACCAGCAGCCGCTCTGAGTCCTCACCGAGACTTGTGCTGACGTTTCTCAGCTTCCTGTTCTTCTTCGGGCAGATTGGCCCCTCAAGGGCCATTCCCCTCTGAAAACAAGGTGAGCCACAGATAATGGCAGGAAAGACGTACCTGCTGGGCTTGGAAGAAGACGGAAGAATTGATTTTCTCGGGTCTCGGTCTGGGCGCTAATAGACTCTGGTGACTCAGGGGGAGAGGAAGTTGTAATTTTAGTCACTTGAGGTTGTTACCTGGCACCTCCTGGCCCACAGTGACCCAAGGCTCTTGCCAGCTAATGACTTTTGGTTCGAGCAGCCTGGCATCATGAACTGGCACCTTCCTGTGCTGATCAGGAGCGGCGGTGGCAAGACAACAGCTAACCCTTGGTCATGACGCATCATCCCTTTCAGATTCAGCTTCCTTGCTCGCTGAATTTGTCACCTCTTCTTCTGTGCTCACTCCCTTACCCTCTCTTCTGGTGCCACTCCCAGCTTTCGCTTGGTATTCTAGAACTCTCGGTGTCAAAATGTGTTTCACGCTCCCTTCCCAGGTCATGTTATGGATGGCAGCCTTAGCTTTCCTTCCAGTGCTTGGGAATTTGGTGCTTCTGCGGTGATGGGCCCCAGATTCCTGCTGGTGGCTTTGTCCTCCGGCCAGTCCCTCGGCTTGGGGGCCCCATTTAGGGTCAGAGGGAAGAACTGTCCTCCCATGGTAAAAGTGTCCACAAGGGAAAGCTCAGTGTCTCGTTCACAAAAGGTAGGTCTTTGGCCTGGGTGGCAACAGGATCACGAGGAGCGCCCCACCCTGCAGAGCCCGGTTTCTGAGGGCCGGGACTGGCCCCAGCACGGGCACTGCGGGCAAGCTCTTCTGTAGAAGGGGTGGAGACTTCTCCCAGAGCCCTGCCTCTGAGCACGGTGCACACGGATGAACAACTGAACGCAGATCTGTTCGTTGGTTTCAGCGTCTCACGGGCTGCGAGCCCACAGATGCCGACAGAGAAGAAGAGACCCTCAGGAGGAAGCTGGAGGAGCTGACCAGCCACATCAGTGATCAGGGGGCCTCATCCGAGGAGGAGGGGAGCAAGGAGGAAGAGGCAGACCTGGACAGGAGCCCCTCCATCAAGGACCTCCCCGGGGCAGCCCCGGAGGTGAGGCCGCCCAAGTGGGCTCGGCAGGACCCGGGCAGAGGTGGGCCCAGGAGGCAAGAGTTTGTGACTAAGCCACTGGCCCACCCCAGGCAGCCGGCCAACGCACGGTCGGCCCTGAGCCCCAACAAGAGCTGCATGGGATGCTTAACCCTCGGCCAGCCCCGCCCGAGTTCAGAGGAAAGAGTGTCATAGGATGGGCCCGTCTTGGGGAGGGCCCTGACATCTCTCCTGCTGGCGGTCATGTTCCGTGTTTCCCTCTCTTAGATGAGCGTGGCTGCGGGCCAGGCGTACAGACAGGAAACCACCCCCCAGGACCCTCAGGACCTCGTGCAGCCCGGCAGGACCACAGACGAGGAGCTGCTGGAGCTGGAGGACAGAGTGGCCCTCACGGCCTCTGAGGTTCAGCAGGTGGAGAGCGAGGTAGCACCAGGCCCGGGGGATGGGGGGCTCCCCAAGTGGCATCGTGGTGGGCCCTGAAGTTCTGGAGGCTGCGGACAGCCCACCCAAAGCTCCGGAATAGGAGCTTGGGGGTTTCCGTGGGAATTGCCCATCCCACCACCCCTGTCTTCGTCCCATTTGCCTTGGTGAGAGGCAAGCAGAGTTTTCATCCCTACAGGAACGATGTTGACGCTTACCCCTCCCTATCCCAGCAGGAGGGGGCTTCTTCAGAAGCAGGCTTAGGTCTGAGGACAGCGCTGGGGCTCAGGACCAGACTGACACAAGGGCCATCCTGTGAGCCCGAGTGTGGGTCCAGGACTTGAGTTCGGGTGAGGGTTGTATTAATAGTGTACAAAGGTCAAAGGACAGAGCCAGGGTCTCTCAGGGACAGCCGAGGTGACTGGGCTCTGCCCTGCCCTCCCCTCGGGGACCCCCAGAGAAAAGAGGGTCTGCCCCTCAGGCTGCAAGGGGAGCCAACACCCACGGCCCTTGCTCGCTTCTGCTCATCAGCAGGTGCCCACCGGGAGTAAGGAGCGTGTCTCCAGAGCTGTGCTCATTAGGGGGACAAACCAGCCCAGGGACTTTGCGTTCTTTTATTCCTTCTTGCTCGGCAAACTATTTCAAACTCCTGAAAATGGCAGGACACAAAAGACACAGCTGGTGCATTCTTAGATGGAGCCCCTGCCTTCATGGAGGCTTATGCTTTCGTGGGAGGAGATAGAGGACAAGCCAACGGCCAAGGAGCTCAGTTCTTGAAGCGAGCTGTGCAAACAGGAAGTGAGGGTGGCTCGGTGGAGCCACCAGGTGGGCTGCTCAGGAAGGGTTATTACAAGAAGAAGACAGCACACATGTGCAAAGGTCCTGGGGTGGTCTTGAACTTGGCGTGTTCAGGAAGGAGCAGTGAAACCCTGAGCCTGGGGCAGAGGGATTGAGGGGGAGAGGGTAGGAGGCAGGTCCAAGAGGAGGGCAGAGTCCAAAGAGCCGTCGGATGGATTAGAACAGGGGTGATGGGGCCTTGTTTCTGCTTCCAGAAGTTTCCTCTGGCTGCTGTGGGGGCCGATTTAAAATGACATCAGGAAGGCAGGCTCTGCCAGATGCCAGCCAAGCCTTTGCCCAGAGTGTAGCCCTGTCCCTTAGAGCTATGGTGACATGGTCCCCAGCACTGCCCCTCCTTCCATGCCTGGGGGGATCCAGGCTTCCTGATGTGCCGAAAGTGTGCAGAGCCCCCCTGCTCCTGTCTGGAGGGTGACCCGCAAGGAACAGCAGCCCCTTCCCCGACAACCATGGAAGATGCATGAAAATGGGCCCCCAGGAAGCACGTCTGTCGGGACCCCTATCTTAAGGGGACCGTAACAAAATCAGTGAACGGGCGGCTTCTCTTCCTGGACTGTGATGTCGAGTTGGCACATCAGAGTGACGTCCGTGTGTCTGTCCTTTTTCCTGCCAGGTCTCCAACATCAAGTCCAAGATTGCTGCCTTGCAGGCTGCAGGGCTCTCAGTGAAGCCGTCGGGAAAGCCCCAGAGGAAATCCAACCTCCCTGTGAGTGCAGGGGCCCTGGCGCCCAGCTTTGTGCCCAGAGCCCCAGCCACCCCTAGCCAGTCGGTGCCCGATCCTCGAGCTGACGTGTGCGAGGAGAAGGGGCAACAGGCTGCCTTCACGCACGCCTCAGGAGACACACTGGTCTGCTCGTGGGCCCAGAGCCCCAGCCACCCCAGCCCCCCAGCCGCTGCCCTCCCCACCCCGGGGCCTGAAACCAAGAGGCTGGCTGGCCGCCTCCCTTCCGGCCCCGCCAGCCTGGCTGGATGTGACTGGAACAGATTCTCCGGGGACGGCAGAGAGGGGGCTGCCCCTCCCCAGCCCTGCGGCAGGTCTGGGACCAACATCCTTCTCCCCAGAGTCAAGCTGGGGTCCCCAGGCCGGTCACACCGGTGGGGTAACCTGGCAGGCGAACACAGTGTGGTCCCGGGAGAGCCCCAGGTCCAGCTGCAGGTGATATACAGGATGCCCAGTACGTCTGAACTTCAGATAAACGACACGTCATTTTTGAGCGTACGTATTTCCTGTGCGATACTTGGAACATACTTATAAACAAACCTCATTCATTGTTTATCTGAACTTCAGAGCTAACTGGCTACTCTGTGTGTTACTTTGTTGAACCTGGTGCGCTGGGGGCTGACGGCCGTCCCTGAGCGCCTGGCCCCGTGCTCAGGGAGAAGGGCCGTCCCTCTGTCCCGCCTGCCCCCCTGTGATGGGGGTCAAACAAGGAGCCATCAGATACAGGCTTTTTCCTTGTCCTCCAGATATTTCTTCCCCGACTTGCTGGGAGATTGGACCAGAGTCCTAAGGATCCGAATGCAGACCCTGCGGAGGAGGTATGGGTCATCGCAAGAGAGTGGGGCGGCTCTTCCAGTCGCGGGATGAGCCCGGGCGGTGGTGGGCTGACCCGTACGGACTGAGTGAGCTCCGCCAGCCCCGCAGGACGGCGTCCTCAGAGGCGCATGCTGGGACAGGGTTGGCGTCAGACTGTGGGGGAAACCCAGGAAAATCCAGCTGGGGAGCGGGAAGGTGGGGCAGAGAGGGAAGGAGGCAAACCCCATGCAAGGTATGTTTGGCTCAGAGGGACGCATTGGGCGTTGTCCTGCGTGGGGGCAAGGAGGCCGCGTGCACCCCTACACGCCCGTCACTCATGGACACCGTCCATTCCGGGCTCTTCCTGGCCTTGCGCAGGCAGGCGGGCTCCAGCGACCTGGGGACAGGCCCCATCTGGGAGATGCAGGTGCTCTAGCAGTGGACGCATCAGGAACCCGGGCGCATGCGGTGGCACGGGGACCAGGGGTGTGGGAGACGGTGGCCCCATTCACAGCGTGCAGGGGAGGCGCCGGCCGGGAGTGAGCCCGATCTCCAAGGTGCAGGTGGTGTGGTTAGAGGTGCGGTGGGAGGCGCCATCCCCAGTACCCCAGAAAGAGTGGCGTCTAGTCCCAGTCCTGCCTGCTGCCTGATGCCCCCAGGAGCCATAGCGAACACGCGGTCACGTGTGTATCGTGATAAGGACACTGGGTAGCTCTTTACAGGTAGAAACAGTGCTTTAACTGCTCTTCCATTTGAGGTTCACAAACCTGGTTGAGGAGGCATTGGGATTAAGCCTGTTGTCCCGATGAGCCAACCCAAGCTCAGGGAGGTTGACGTACTTGATTGAGATCGCACAGACCATAAGGGACGGAGGGGTCTCGGCCCAGGCCCCCTGGCCCTGACGTCCCACCCTCTTCTGGGGACCACGGTGCTTCCTGACTGGCTCAGGGAAGCCCAGCCCCGGACGCCTCTCCTGCAGGCCTCCAGGTGCAGCCCACAAAACCAGCGAGGCAGAATCTCGGGGGCCGGACGTTGGGAAGATTTCCAGGGGGGTCAGGCCACCTGCTCGTGCCCGGAGAGGCAAAACAGGGAGTGGACGATGCCATCACGGAGAGGCTGTCAACGGGAGAGTGAAGGGAAGGCGTGGGGACCAAAAGCCATGGGCGCTGGGGACATGTGAGGAGCAGGTAGTCTCCCAGTAACCCCAAGAAGGGGCTAGTGGCCCCTTTTCCAGACAAGTTCAGAGAGGACACACAGTCGTCCACATCACAGGGGTGGGTGGGGGGTACCTGGATTTGAACCCAGGTCTGCGGGGCTGAGATGCGTGCTCTCCCTGCCCTCCCACCCACCGTTGACAAACGTACGCGTCTCTTTTATGCTCTGGCGTTTGGTGCTTCATTTATTGATACCGTGTATTTTAACATTGACAAAAGTTCTGATATTGCCTAAGAACAGAAGACAGCTGACCGGATTCACTAGAATCTGGAAGAACCGTGAGAAGTCCCAGTTTAGCTCCCAGTGTTGCCAAGGATTACAGTAGTTCAGTGAAGCCCTGAGATGTCTTCTTTCTTCTAGGTGATGACAGCGCCCTGTCTTCTCAGAAGGAAGTTCGGTAATTCCCCGAAAAGTCAAGGTAAGAGTTAGCGGCTTCCCTCAACCCCGAGGGCCTGGGAGATGAGCTCGAGGGTGTGAAAGTGGCCAGTGGGGGTTCTGCATTTCTGTGTAATCTCTGGGACACAGCATCCCTTGCCCCCGGGGCCTGAAGGATGACTCCCCAAGCCGCTCCTGCCAGGAAGCATTCCAGTGGGTTGGTGTTCTGGAACCCGCCTGGTTGGGCACGCAGTGGGCGTGGCGCTGGCATTTTCCACGTTTTGCATTGTAAACTGCTCTAAGGCTTAAGGCTTATCACCCTTCTCGTGCAAAGCACAGAAGGTAACTTAGCTTCCCTTGATGTCTCAGTGGTGACCAGGACATCAACTTTGCTCCACGACCAGGGTGATAGGCCTGGCTGCCTCGTCCACGGTGCATGGCCGGGCTGTCGGGGAATCGTGTCTTGCTCCCCTTGCAGCCCGCCTGAGGATCACAGAGGGAAGCAGCCCCTTTCCCAGGTCAGGGTCCAGTCCCTCCGCTGCTGTGTCAGGCCTCTGAGCCACTGTGGCATCTCCTCTTGTCCCTGCATCTGAGCTCTGCCCTCACCACCCACAGCCATGGTCCCAGCAGACAGAGCTCTCTGTGTTCCTCTTCTGCTCCCGAACAATCGTTGGCTCCCACCTGCCTGCAGAATGAGTGGGATTTCTTAGCACAGCCTTCCAGACCCTTACTTTCTGCCCCACACGGGACCCCTGGGTGAACAACACACACCTCACAGGCACATGGGGGTGTTGAGCGCTCTGTGCACACACACCTCCGTACCTTTGCCTGGGCCGGGCCTTCTGCCCGGAGCGCTCCTCGCTCCCTTTCCTACCCGCCTCTGCCCTCTGAAGGCCAAGTGCAGCGTCCCCTCCCAGGAGGTTCTCCACCACCTCCAGAACATTCTCCACCACCTCCTCAGGGGACATCTTTGCACAGCCCTCTTTGCACCCAGCTCTCCTCCATGCAGCTTCCTCTTTGCACCCCAGAGCTCCCCGACCCGGGCAGGTCAGGCCAGAGACAGAGCTGGTCCCGAGGCCCTTTGAGGCGAATCCCTGACTCAGGGCCACGAGCGGGGTGACGGACTTTGTCAGCGAGGCCACCTGCCGCGGAGCGGGGGGAGCTTCCAGCAGGCCCCGGGGCTACCACCCAAGTGAAGGCTCACGGTTGCAGCGGGGGGCCACGGGGCGAGCGCCTGGTCAGTCAGAGGCCGCTCACCTGGTCCCGGGCCCCCTGGAGCCGGCGGGCTTTCCAGGGACTAAACGGCCCGGCTGCAGCTGCTGGTCCCCACACTCCTCTCCGGTCACCACGGCCAGCCTCGGCGGGGTGGCTTCTCACCCGTGTGCCAGACGTCCGTCCCCACACGGGAAGGGTTCACTGCCCCGTAGCTGGGATCGCTGGGTTAGCAGCACCCTCCACAGAGTTTAGGAGCAGGAAGGGGGGCAAAGCCCGGCAACTCGTTCTCTGCCCACAGTGGAACCCTGAGCTCGTTTGCCGGCCCCCCTGCCAAAACACGACACTCAGCCCTGCTGTGTAGCCTCTGCCAATTTCCGTGCTGTAAACACTCCGCCGCGGCTGATGTCAAGCTGCCACCTTGACGTCAGGGGACACGGGGCTGGGCAGAGGAGACGTGGCCCAGCACCCCCTCCCCGAGAGCAGGTGCATGTCAGGCAGGGCCCCCACTACACCTGCCAGAGGAGGGAGACCCCCGGGATTTGCTCACTTGTGCCCATGAACACAAACGGTTGACTAGGATGTGAGACCAAATGCCGCAGCTACACGACCGAAGCCCTGGGGGGGGACCCTCTTCTGAGGGGCAGGGTTCCCAGACCCCCCAGGCCCGTGGCACTTCAAGAATTAAAGGAAACGCAATGGCGTGTTGTGTTGTGTTTCACCCGAGGGAGCATTTCTGGAGCCGAGAGATAGGAGAGAGAGAGGATTTTAATGCTCGCTCTGAGGCAAGGGAGAAAGAAGTGTGTTTGCACAGCTGCTGACATGCTTCTGTGCCCCTGAAGGTAAAGACGGGGCCTCCTTTGGTCGGCAGTCGGTGTACCGCGGATCCCTGACACAGAGAAACCCCAACAGCCGCAAGGGGGTGGCCAACCACAGCTTTGCGGTAAGCTTGTCTCTCCCCTCCTGAGGCGGCTTGGAAACTCCCTGACCCGTCAGGTTTACGTGTTGGTGCTAAGACTCCAGAGCAGAGAAAATGGGGATAAACTAACAAGTGAAATCAGCAAAATATTTATAGAAAAATTGAAAACATTTCTTAAAGGTACCAGAATATACCAGTGATAGGGGTCCCCGCTTACCCTGGGGTGGGTCTCGGCTTGGGGAAGGGGACCATCGTGACACAGAGAGGACACTCGTGGGAGGGGACCATCCATGAGACAGTGACGACACTCGGGGGAGGGGAC